ATCCTAATAATATTATATCATTTTTTTTACAACTTAGAATGGCAAACAAGCTAACGGCCCACCTGATGGAAAGTGGTAACCATCGCCTATAGACATGAGCAGTACCATGGACATAACAGAGTATGCTGTTTCGCCCATGATACGCCCCATGCGTTGCCATTCCTGAGGACTCAGGTGTTATTCCTCTGTACCCTGTAAATTCACGCCATATCCCACTTTTCAAACCGAAACACAGCCATGCAAACACAACTGCTTCACGGTAGAAACACGAATGGGACAGAGGTACCCAAGCAATCGACTTTTGTACAAAGCGGTAAGAGGGAGCTCTTATAAACTAGTTATATCCCACGGCTTTGCTCGTACAAATTTGTATTTTTTATAATGACTGATGATGATATCGGTATACGCTGGCGAGGCACTAGGCAGGGATTAGGTGACGATGAAAGCAGTTCTTAGTCTAACATGACAAATTTCATTAAAATTAACCACGATGGTTTCCAGGAGGAACCGTGTGGAGGTCGACCTGGTGACTAACCTTTCTCCGACCGACTTACCTCCTGCACAAAATACAATTAATACAGCATCAAAATCTGTGTATTATAACTTCATCTATATTTGTCTAGTCCTTTATTATGATTCAATCAACTCGGATAGATCAGTCAATCGAATAGGGATCAAACCGAATAAACGTCAAATACCTAATAACTAAGGTAACTTCTATTCGTATTTGAGGTCTATTTGATCTACATAATTTCCATGTAAAATAAATTATCAGTTAATAATATTTACACAAATGGAGTATAATAGAAATTACAATCAGCCTTCTGAATATAACCTTATATACTGCCGAATATAAGCCTTCCCCAGTATAGGACTTTTGCTAGTAGTTGCCATGCTTGGCAAGTGGTTAACAACCGCAGTTAGGCTTCTTGTGATGTTTTAGGGAGGCTGTCCATCTCTCTACCATTAAGTTACCTTTATCGTCTCTTACGATAGTCACGGGAAAGGAACGGGTGGCGTATTCAATGCCGGGACCACACGGCGGCATACAACGTAAATTATAATGTATTTAATTAAATCTTAACAAGTTGAAAGAAAGAAAGAAAGAAAAAAAAAACATTTATTGACAACAACAAAAAGTTACATAAATTATGAATTAAAAAAAATTTAAAAACTTTACATTTATTTAGTTGAGATTTTTTTTACATTTCGACAACTCGACGAGATGTGATTCGAACCCATATGTCTTTGTTTTACAATCTGAGTGTATTCCTAGTCACATTATGGAAGAAACACCATTAATTCGAACTTCTGTGAATTACTTTTTTAAATGTCATCACGCGTGAGTGAAGCGCTATAAAAAATTTCAATCAGTAAATATTTTTGAATTTCGAAATGGAACGATACGTTTTGAAATAATTTCAAACTATTTTAATTAAGTTAGTATTATTTCATTTTGGCGTTGTGAAAATATGAAGTTGCATGTATAAAGTAATGGAAAAAAGAATATCCATTCTCTTCGTTAGAGTTTCATTCTTTTTATATGCCAGCAGAACTATCGTTGCATGCTCTTTTCCATTTTTAGATTGATTCTTTTAAACCAATTTGCTCTCGCACTACTGCACTGCGAATTGTATTCCAATATAGTGTATTATTGTATTAAATTTGTTAATCCACATGTGAACGGAATTTTTACATGTTTCGTACGAGTATATCCATTTGCACTTTGGTGAGTATTTTTTTAAACTTTTATATAACACTGATTTTTATATTGACTTACGTTTAGTTCACTATATTTTAAAACACGAACAGTCCAGCCACTTAAGTAGTAACATACAAATATATAATCAGAAAATTTTAAAAAATCAACGTGTTTGGTCATCAGTCCGATTGCTAGCAATATACCCTATCAGGTATGAAGAGTGGGATATGGCCTGAATTTACAGGGTACAGTGGAATAACATCTGAGTCTTCAGGAATGGCAACGCATGTGGGGTATCATGGGCGAAACAGTATACTCTGTTATGTCCATGGCACTGCTCATGTATGGTATATAGGCGACGGTTACCACTTTCCATCATATCATCGTCAGCTTGTTTGCCATTTTACGTTGTATAAAAAAAAAGGTCAACCCGCGTGGTTCCCCCTGGAACCCACCGTGTTGATTTTCAGGTGTATGCATCACGGTGGATTAACTGACCTGCCCTTTCATCCTCACCTATTATCCTTCACTGGTGCCCTGCCAGCGTATACCGTTAATGCAGACGGGGTTACCATTTCATTATCATCCATTGAATACTCATCAAACCGAAATATAGTCATGCAAACATAACTGCTTCATGATAGCAACACGAATGGGACAGAGGTGCACAAGCAAACGACTTTTGTACAAAATCCCCTCTGGTATAATTAACACTCTCTCTCTCTATTCTCTCTCTATTCTCTTTATAAACTGAATTACATCACTACAAAGCAAAAGGTCATGTATTTTTCATAATATTTACTTTCAGTTTTTATTTAATCGCTTTTTACTAACTAAATATTTTTAATGTAATCAAGTAAAATAATATTTTAATAAAAACTCTTGCAAATAAATAACACATGTTATTTTGGGGAACATCAAAGCAAATTTTTTCAAAGAATTAAGAATACTCGAGTAGCAAGTGAGTAATTATAATACATTTAAAAATATTTAAAGTTATTATCAATACTATTAAAGATATACAAAATATGTATTTGTTTCAAAGATTAAAGATATAATAATGATCAAAAATAAATTAAAGATATAATAATGATAAAAATATTTAAGACTACTTAACAGTGTGGATCTGGTCTCGCGCATACATATTTTAGATGCATGTCTTTCTTTGCACATAGCTGAAAATTCTGTATATATATATATATATATATATATATATATATATTTGTATTTGGGCACAAGGCCATACTAGATTTTTAACATGTCACCCGGCACTTCCTATAAAATCGTATATATATAGGTATATATAAAATATAAAACCTATGCCTATATGAGCTCTGTTTGAACGAATACTTTATGTTAGCCGTATGAGGAAGCCAACTCACACAGCGGGCTCTGGTAAAAGTTATGAGGTTATCACTGAAATGAGGATATCCGCAGTAAACCAGAGGCCACCAATATAACTGAAATATCGAGAAAATGAAGTTGCAGCGAGCTAAGGCTGGCCACGCGTCTAATTCAGAAGCTACGAACGATGGGTATATATATATATATATATATATATATATATATATATATATATATATATATATATATATATATATAATCTCAAATGTATTGTAGAGGCACAATAAATAGAAATGCTTTTGAATTGCTTAAAACTGTTTTTTGTCACAATTTTTTTTATTTTTTTAAGAAATACGCAATAGTAAGATTTGCGGAATCGGTTTACGCCATCTATGTATTACCATGATGTTTACGGTAAACTAGTACTGAGATAATTTGAATGTGGCTTATTGATTAACTCAAGAGATCGTTTTTTTTATATATTTATAGTTACATTGAAATGAAATGAAATTTGAAATGAAATGAAATTTATTTGTTATAAAAGTAGTACATAATAGATGGTATGGTTATTTATGTTATATAGATCTCAATTTTAGTCTTTACAGACATGCAAATACATTTTTGTAACTATTATATTATTATTCTTTATATAATTCAATTAAAGTTACATATTATACATTTATTATTATTATAAAAGTAATGAAAATGTTATAAAACTGTCATATATTCAGAGAGAATGTTTTTTTTATATATTTATGTTTTGTAAAGTATACATAATGTTTGATGAATTAATTGGTATTGTATATATATGTATATTATATGGATAGAGCATCGAGCCTCAAAAATGAGTCAACTTTTTGTCAGATAATTGTTAAATTAGTCGACTTGTTTTTTTTATCAGTGTTCTATATATTTACGTATATACGTATGTATATTGACGTAACTATATTTAATTATTTAATAAATAAAATGTGTATTACGTATTCAATTTAAACATTATAAAACAAAATAAATATAGAAGTTATAAAGGAAACACTCATATCTATTTATCATGCAAAATTGTATAAAAAAGTTGACCCGCTTTTCTCGAAGTATTTGTATGGAGAGACTCAATCTATATCTATTAATCTGAGATATATATGTATATATTTACAAAATAAAATAAAAAGTAGATATTTGATTAAAGTATGATTCATTAAATTGCTTTAGCTGATTTATTATACATTTTATGTCGTTTGAAATTATATGAATGGTGTCCGGCAAGCAACCTCATGACTCAATCTCTTGTCACAGGCAGAGAGGATTTCTGTTAAAAGGAATGGATTATGAATAATGTTATGGAATCACTTTACGAAAATATAACTGAGAGTGGCTACGGAACCAGAATTTATACCAATTTTATAGCCTCACATCAAAATGCGCGATCATGCACGTGACCATCATGTTTATGCCCTGTTTTAAATACATGTTTATTTATTACGTACTTGTATTTCATGCTTAATTTTTTCATTTCACACAATGAAGCCTATACACATGTTAAAAATAATTTTCACCTAATTTTCTACGTACAAAGTAAAGGGGTAGGATTTATTTGAATTTAAATAGAGTTTTGAGAACAATAAATGAAAGGAATTACAGGGAAAACGGACAATACGACTACGTGCAAACGAAAAAGGGGCGATAAATATAATGGGAATTCACGATACGTTTCCAACTGTTATAACAGGCGTTCGAACTTCGAACACACAATTGTCATTTAAATCCTCCCAAATGAATCGTTTGCGGGACTGCCGCGTGGAATGGCCACAGAATAAAAAAATACAAACATTAAACTTATTTGTTTCACAGTACGCATGTAATTCCTTAGCTTTTGCAACTTAATACAATGATCCTGCTGCGCTAAAATCTGACGCTCGAGTCAGGTGCTTTTCTCGGCTTCAGTACTGAACGGGAATTTGTATAGGGTGGACGTTATTGGCCCTGCCCATTTTGGCGGCGAATTTCAATTTCGAACGAAAATTGGAAAATAGAATACGTATTATTTTTTATTACTTGCTAAAAATGTTCTTAGTAAAACTTTGCGACCAGTTATAAAACAGAGTTATTAGATTGAAACTTTTTTTTTTATTATCCTTTATTGAAGTTGTCAGGTGTTTAGTGTTTTTAGTGTTTTTTTTTTATGTGTAACATTGAAAATGTTAGGACGAGGAATGATAACGGTTTCGTCATTATTCATGATGCTTATCGGAGGTGAGTTTTTAATTCTCGCATTACGCTTAGATTTGTGTCCTTGTTAAGCGCAGATGGTTGCTGTATGGAAATTATTTTAATATTTATCATCCTTTTAAGAGGAAATTGAATTTTGTTCGTGCTACCATTTTTAATAAATTTTGCTCAGAATGTTTCAATATAAAATGTAATCTAGATTAATATATATATATATATATATATATATATATATATATATATAGATATTTTTTATGTATCTACATAAATGCCTATATAAAAATGTCTATATATATAGTAAAATTTCGTAAAATTTTTTGTTGATATTCTAAAATGAAATGCTATTGGAAGTTGCTTAATTTTAAACCAATCCTTAATTATTACTACGGATTACTAAAAATTAATTACTAATAAAAATACTCAATAATTTTATAAACAATATTTTACAGTTTTGCATCAGTTACAATTTTATTAAAATTTTACATTACGATTTCACGTTTGGCTCTAAGTTCCATTCTAGATTAGGTACATTCTGTAAAAAAAATTCTATACCTAGTTTCTCAACTATAAAAGGGGTTAGTTTAATACATATGATCACAAAGAATGCACGAGTGAAGCATGATCACTTGCTTGTGTGGTCCCGACATAGAATGGGTCATTCCTTTCCCGTGGGTGTCGTAAGAAACAATTAAGGGAACTCAATGGTCGAGAAATGGGCAGCAGTGTCTCTCTTAAAACCTAACCAACCATCCCTTTCCCTTTTTAGGTTATTATTTTTAGTTAGGCGTTTAGGTTAAGCACAAACTTAATTATATAGATATTTACAAAAACAAAAAAGAAATACAAAGGAAATACTCATACATACGTACAACAAAAGTAACTTAGAATTTTGTTTTTGTGTATTTACTTCAGTAACACAAAGTGATCACAACTCAATTTATTACTTTGCCCTCGAAAGAGTACTGTACAAAAACACTGATTTTCTGTTAAGGCCCAAAGTTATAGCATCAATCTGATAATGTATTATTTTAGACAAAAAAAAAAATTCAAATCGGTTTAAAAATAACAAAATTAAAAAAATAACAAGGGGGAAAGGGATTGTTAGTAATGGAGACTGAGAATCCCATTGCTAGCAATATACCTAACTAGGCCGACCTCTACGCGGTTACCCCTGGAAACCATCGTGGTTAATTTTTGTGGAATTCGTCACGATGAGCTACCTGGCCTGCTTGTATCGTCATCTGTCACCCCTCATTGATGCTCTACCAGCGTAGACCAGTACGACCACACGGGGTTTCCATTCTGGGGTCTTCGCAGGATCTGGAGATATTTTATATTTCTCAATGTCGTATTTAATATTTTTACCATTCTTTCTGTTTATATTGTAGGAAAATGAGACTTTCAAGTACCTAATGACCTCGCTAAATGATTTATGTCACTATCGAATGCCTTTCATAAATTCATACATTTTCCCATTCTTGTAGCTTTGTTATATTTTTATATTGCACATTATTGACAGTGGACGATTTGTCTGCAGACTGTGTGTAAGTCATTTACTTACATGACATGTGTGTATTTTTTTTTATAGATCAACATCTAAATAAACTGGTAACATCACTTGCATTATTGATTTACGTTAGTAAAATCCCTATGAAGGATGATAGGTTTTTTTTTGAAGGATGATAATAGAATGGTAACCACACCTGCGCTATCGGTATTCTCTGGCGGGGCACCAGTGAGAGATGACTAGTGAGGATGAAAAGGTAGGTCAGGTAGCCCATCGTGACGATTTCAACGATAAATTAGTCACGATGGTTTCCAGGGGGGACCGCGACCTGATAAGGTATAATGATAGCGATGGGAACTAACCTCCCCATTACTAACAATCCCTTCCCCCCGGGATGATAGGTTTTTTTTTAATGGATGATAATGGAATGGTAACCCCGCCTGCACTATTGGTATACACTGGCAGGGTACCAGTGAGGGATGACTAGTGAGGATGAAAAGGCAGGTCAGGTAGCCCATCGTGACGATTTCAACGATAAATTATTACGATGGTTTCCAGGGGGAACCACGAGGAAGGTCGACTTGACAGGTATATTGATAACAATGGAGTTACTAAATCCACATGACTGATAATCCCTTCTCCCGCCGGGGTGATAGGTTAGAATATTGGAATTGTGATTAATTTATCAAGAATCACGATGGTTTCGAGGTGTCGCTGGGTGAAATTCAAACTGTTAGGGATGGGGAAAGGGATTGTTAGTAATAAACTACCAGTTTCATTATTAGAAATATACCCTATCAAGTCGACCTCCACGTGGTTCGCCCTGGAAACCATCGTGCTAAATTCCATGTTCGTTTTTATTATCATATATTAAAAAAAACCTGTTAGATTTTTTTGTTGGCAATAGGGACTAGAGTTTTTATGTTTTGTTCTACTATTACTGGAAATTTGAAAGTTTGTGGGAACAGATATATATTCGTTACTCTTTCATGTAAATCTATTAAACAGATTTTAATGAATTTTGGTGTAAAAATAGGTTATATTTTAACTTGAATACAGGATACTTTATGCTGAATCACGTGGGCAAAGTCGCGGGTTAAAGATAGTATCAAAATAAAATACAAAAATATAGATAGATAGATAGATAAATAGTTTATTTGCATTACTTACAGCACAAAAACAACAACAGACACAAATGTATAGTGAAAAAAGACAAACAAAAGATACAAGATAAAATATTATGAATATGAAATTGAAAAACAAATAGAGTATAAAATAGTTACTTAGTAAAATTGCAGTTTAAAGAACTCCTTCCTGTTCCTTACATTGTAGAAAAATGCCATAAAAATCACACAGTACATAGTAATAGTAACATAATGACTCGGTTAATAGACTATAACTTTTTACTGATACTCGTTCATTAAACTTTCCACTTTCTGAAGTTGATTTGACATCTTACAGAAGGTACCGAGTTACCAAATGATTTAACTTATAAATTATTTATACATTAACCTATAAATATATTTATATATTAACTCTCTATTGCCGAACATAAGCCTCCCCTGGAGATTTTTGCAGTAGTCGCCACCCTTGGCAGGCGGATTAGCAACCGCAGTCAGGCTTTAGAGATATTTTAAGAGGAACGCTGCTGCCTATTACTTAGTCGGTTCATACGACACTCACGGGATAAGCAGGGTTGGCCTATTCTATACCGGGCTCACACGGCCATATATATGTATATACTGAGCTTGCAATCTTTTAACTATGTCCAGACACTCAGCGAATGTCTTATATTTAACTAATTGACTCATTAAAAGAGAAAATTTAACCATTTGTTTTATATATATAATTTATCCTTACTAATATTACGAATGTGAAAATGACTTTTTTTTATACAACTTAGAATGGCAAACAAGCTGACGGCCTACCTGATGGAAAGTGGGAACTGTCGCCTATAGACATGAGCAGTAGCATGGACATAACAGAGTATACTGTTTCGCCCATGATACCCCCCATGCGTTGTCATTCCTGAGGACTCAGGTGTTATTCCTCTGTACCCAGTAAATTCACGTCATATCCCACCCTTCAAACCGAAACACAGCCATGCAAACACAACTGCTTCACGGTTGAAACACGAATGGGACAGAGGTATCCAAACAATCGACTTTTGTACAAAGTCTTCCTCTGATAAACTTTGTTTATTTGTTACTTCATAGAACCTTAACCAATCACTATGAAGTTTGGTATACACGTAAATAGAATGGAGGAGGATATAATGTTACTTTTTATTTCATTCAGTGAATATATACCGGTAACGCGGACGAAGTCGCGGGTAAAAGCCAGTATAAAGCAAAATTGTTTCGTTGTATCACAAAAGTAAAACAAAAAAAAAAAGAACCGAGAACAACAGAACTAATTTGGCAAATTTTTTTTCACGTATTTGTTGAAATCCGAGGAAGGTTTCGGTGAAAAGAATATTTGGAAAAATTGCCCTGATAGACGCGAAAGTCACTTTTTTCTTTTCTCCGTCCATACTGTTTCTTGCTGCCAATTCAAACATTTACTCAGTAGGTGTCGGTAGAGATTTAAATAACGTTTGGGTTAAGTTGGTGTTCCTTAAATAAATAAATAAAATAAAATATGTTAGATAATATTTTATTAAATATATTTTTTTTAACCAATTTATATAGGAAAGAGTTTAATATTTTAAATACAGATATTCCCTAATCTATTTTTTCATTTCGACATATTTTTGACATATCTTTTGACATCTAATGTCTGCCCCAAGAACATTGGCATTCAGGAATAAACTATATTTTTATTTAGAATCCCTAGAATTACTTTTTACGTTTTGCTATGTCTGATGCTGGTATTTCCCTTAAATCTGAGTAGTCTTTCGTCTGATATTATGTATTATATATATATATATATACATATACAAATAAAAATATTTAATTTTTATTTTATATATTTTTTTTGTACGTTATATTTTCTAATATCAACTGATTATTAAAATTTTAGTTTTTATTGTCAAAAATTATATTTTTTAAGTGCTAACGTTTACAATGGATTCTAATTTGTTAAGCGAACCGTTATGTTTACGGGGCAGAAGTCGACTTATACTGTCTCAGTACTCTATTAGAGATTGTAGTCGTGAATATATTTATTTTACTGAAAAAAATATTTTAAAGATAAAAAAAATATGTTTACACAAATTGCAATTGAAAGATATTGGGTTTACCATTAAGTTTAATTCGGTTTGTTTTTAGAAATTAATTTAGTTTCATCTTATATATTTCGAAGACTTCAATTAAAGACTCTTAAAAGCGTTTAAAATGAGTAAATTTATTGATAAATTCATTTGAGATATTGAATGAAACTCTATTTTGAAATGTACACAAAGTAATATCGTGAGAAAATCCAGTATTACTTGAAAATTACAATATTAAAAGTTAATGTTTTTGGTTTTTCTTATATTATTAAAATACTTGATTAAAATGCTATAATAATATTTTTT